GGTCCGCAGAAAAATTATTTGCATTTTTATATTGCACTAAATACTATTTATTTTTTTAAAAAAAATCATAGTAGTGGTCCGCAGGATTTAAAATTATGAATTAAGTGGTCCCAGAGATCTGAAAGGTTGGCAACCCCTGATCTATCCCAACATCTCCCCACCAAGCAGGAGTCGCTATACCATTTTTGACAATCTCTTCTTGAAAGCTTCCAGTGATGAAGGACCCAAAACTTCTGAAGGCAAGCTGTTCCTTGGGTTGATTGTTCTTACTCTCAGAAAATTTCTCCTTAATTTTTAGGGTGAATCTCTCCTTGATCAGTTTCCATCCATTATTCCTTGTCTGGCCTTTGGGTGCTGTGGAAAATATGTTGTAGATCATACCCCATCAAAACAAGAAGGCTAAAAAAAGAAGCATGTGGGGTATCTGGGTATGGAACTGGGTTTGTCTAGTTTAATGAAAAGGACTAGGGGAGACATGATAGCAGTGTTCCAACATCTCAGGGGTTGCCACAAAGATGAGGGAGTCAAGCTATTCTCCAAAGCACCTGAGGACAGGACAAGAAGCAATGGGTGGAAATTAATCAAGGAGAGAAGCAACCTAGAACTAAGGAGGAATTTCCTGATAGTTAGAACAATTCATCATTGGAACAACTTGCTTCCAGAAGTTGTGAATGCTCCAGCACTGGAAGTTTTTAAGGTATTGGATAACCATTTGTCTGAAGTGGTGTAGAATTTCCTGCCAAAACAGGAGGTTGGACTAGAAGACTTCCAAGGTCCCTTCCAACTGTTATTCTATATGTAATGAGACTTCCCCAAAACAAACACGCCCCTCCCCCAAACAAAGGCCAAGGAGATACATTAAGTTCAAAGGGAGATTTTCAAGGACCTGCCAGGGACCCCACAGAGCCAAAAGGGTCGATCGGCCAGGTCCTGAACCATCCGGAGCCTCCCCACCCCCTTTAAACCGGGAAAACAGCGGGAGGCGAAAGGAAAGGAAGGGACAGAGCCGAAAGGGGGCTTACCCGGGCTGGCCAATGAGGATAGCCTTTCATTTTGGCGAAGATCAGGTCTCCCGGTTTGAAATCGCGGCTCATGCTGCTCCTTCTCGCTGCGCTGGCGGGGAGGGGGAAAGGCGAGTCAAGTCTGCGGAGGGAACCGAGCGGGGCTGCTGCAGGCGAGCGCCGTCCTCAAAAACATAAGCCGCTGTTCCGCGGGCGGAGCGAGGGAAGGAGAAGGAAAGGCAGTAGGGGAGAGGCTGAAGGAAACAGCGCACGGCTGTTAAGCCCACCGGTGCCCTTCACCCCTTTCCCCCGAAGGGTTCGGGGTTGCGCCACAGAAACCTCCCAACCCGCCCTTCTCCCGGCGGCGGCGGTTCCCGCCAACCCAAGCCTTCATCATTCCCGTTTTGGCGGGAAGAAAAGTCCCCCATCATCAGGAGAAAGAAAGAAAAGGGCAGCCACCCTCTGTCTCCCTGCCGCCGCCGGAGCGCGACCATCCCCGATCCCCGCTTACCTGACCCGCGCGCACGCGCGCCGAACCCTCTCCCACACCCCCACCTCCTCCTACCCCGCCGCGGCTATCCCGTTGCTCTACCTTCCCCCTCCCCCCGCAATAGCCAAACCGCGGCCGCCGCGAGCTCGAGGGCGCGCACCCGCCGCTCCTCGCGCCAGCCGCCTCGGAGGCTCGCTCCGACTCGGCGCGCACCAAAAGATTTGCCTCGAAATCAGGGGGTGGTGGTGGGGGTGAAAGTCAGGTGGGAGAAGCTGCGAGTATAGTTCTCTGGCCCGTCTTGGTTTTCTTACTGGGTAGGGGATCAGCGGTGTATTGAAGTCGAGAGAGAGAATGGTGGGGAAAAGTCCAAGAGCCGGCCCAAGAGCCTCATTGATCGGGATCCTCCTCCTTCGAGCACAATGGTTCGCTCCGCCTTTTCCTCCTTCTGTTGGCGCGTTCTTGCAAGGCCGAAAGGCAAACAAGAGGGAGTTCGTTATCAGCGCGGGGGCGGGGTGTGCTTCAACTTTGAATGGGCCTAATGGTATCGCCAAAGGGTCAGCCGCAGGTTCCCTTAACATCCTATGCAGAGCCAGGTTTTGTTAGTGTGGGGTACTTGATCCTGCTGTGACAAACAAAAAAACAAAAAAAGGTCATATTTATTGGGTATCCTATAATGCTCCGTGGATAGGATATAAAAGGTTTTCATTCAACCGGATGCAGTGTGTTTTCTTCGGGAATAAGTCAGCCTGGCTTTGATAGAAACTTGCTCCGGATGAAGGTTTTGCCGAGTATAATTTTAGTAGGTTTGTAGTAGGATTCATGCTCTAGGTCGTTAGTTTTACAATTTTTCCATTCTCTTCCGAGATGAAAACAAGGCAGTGAAATGTAAAAATCATGGCTGAGTTCTCCGGAAAATGCTGCCAATCCAGGCAGATTTTTTTTTATAATGATAGTTAAGGACGTATTTAGATTTTAAAAAGTAAATACATAAATAATATGGGTTTTAAATTGCACTGTACAATATGACTTGATTAAAGTTCTGTATTAGGAAATTGTCGCCAAGCAGAATCTTGATGTAGCTTTTAATAACAGTAGCTATTAATAAAAAAGACTGTTCATATAATATGCTTTCTGACTAATAGTTAAATTTATACTTAACTCAGTTTTGTAGTATATCACACTGAGCCACAACGGCTGGGTTTTCATACCTTGCTTATTTATCAAATTGTTATCTCACAAATGTGACTCTTGCATGTTTAATTTTGCCAGTATAGTTACTACTAAACTGGTGTGACTAAAGATATTTAACTCACTGGTTCTTTTCAAACTGATTATGGCATTGTGAGTTCAATATTCTGTGCCAAAATTCAGCAGAGACCTATCTTCATTTTTATATAGAACGCATACTAGAATGTAGACTTTTCAATGTTGATTATTTTATATGTATGACTAATTTATACTCTACCTTTCTTTCAGAGGTTTGAGGCATGTTTATAATCCTGGCCCCATTTTTGCCCTACAAAATAATGTGTGAGCCTAGACCGAGAGTGACAGGCACAGAGTCACAATGGGCCTTCACAGCTGTGATAGACCTGAACCAGCCTAGTACTTTAATCACTATATCATTCTAGCTTTTTACAAAATAACTGTAATTAAATCTTTTCTGCTAGGTTTGCATAATACTCTAAGCTAAAATGTGATTGTTTTGTGGCTCAGAGTGTTGTAAAATGCAGTCAGTGAGGATAGTTTTCTGTTTCTTGAAGTAATAATTGGATTTATTTGGTATACAGAATTTATTAGCTTTGTGATAAACAGCTGCATAAAGCAACATTGTGCCTCGGATAGCAGCATGAATCTCCTCAGGCTGGATGGGTAGGAGATGATGCATGTGGCATGACAGAAAGTGACCCAACTCTCTTCCTGATTTTCCAGAAGTCTGCTTGATTGCCAGAGGGAACAGAATTATAGATTATTGGAATATTAATTTAATCTTATATAACATGTATGTACCTGCCATCAATTCAAATCCATATTCAACTAGAAAATAGGTACCCTGGAACCTATTTTTCCACTCAGTTAAATTGGTCATAGTCTTATAATGACTTAAAATACTGCCATGAGCTTCAAAAAGGGAATAATGAATACAAATGCAAATAAATCTAGTGCTCACATCTTCTAAATAACATGAAATGCTGCCATTTCTTCATGAGTAGCTTTGTGGAGGTGATACTAGCTGGATTTATACAATACACTAATATTAAAAACAGATTGCTAATTCAAAATGTAAGGTAAGCATTGTCATATTAGATACAATTGTATATTCAATATTGAAAACTATGATGGTACAAAGAACAAAAATATATGCTGTGAAGTTCAGAGTGCCATTTCATAACCTAATAAGTGTCTGTAGTTGCATTCTAACTAATATATACTTAATATGTTGCTTTAGAAAAGTAGCCTTGTGCAATATAAAATTATACTGATTGTATTTGCATAAGACACACTAAGGAATCAAATACATAGCCACATTTTATGCCAGTATATACTGCAAATTTAGTCATTGAAGGTTTGAGTAAAAGAAGAAATCTTGCATTCCTTAATGAAATTGGATGTGCTTTCCAATTACTCTTGACTCCTGGTAACTGCCTGAATGAGTCCCTACAGTTTCCTTGGCAAGTTTTTCAGAAGCGCTTGCTTTTGCCTTTTTCCTTGGGCTGAGAAGGAATAACTGGCTGAGAGTTATCTAGCTGGCTTCATGGCTGAGGCAGGACTTCATTTAGTCTCCTGATTTCTTTGCAGTGTTTAAAAGGATCACATCTATTGGCTCTCCTAATGAATCTATTAATTTTTTATAGCTACCCATCTCGCTTATGTGACTGTGGGTGGCTTATGAAGTTAAAAATCCAGAAAACAATACACCCAACTCCACCCCATCCCAAAATTAAAAAACAAACACTTAAAAACTTTAGAACATAATCTGTGGAGATTATGTTGTATCTAAAAGTACAACCTCTTAGCAGGCTTTCCACCAAGTTCTGAACCAATTGACAAAAGCCATGTTTTCAGGCTCTTCTGAAAGGCCAACAAAGTAGGGACCAATCTCTCCTTAGGGCAAATGATATTTCAAAGGGTGGGCTGTCAGAAAAAGGTCTCTCGGGTGCCATCAGCTGACATTCCTTTGTAGACTGGATCTGCAATGTGCCCTTTCTGCCAGATCTCATGGGACTAGTAGATGTAATTGGGATGAGGTGATTCCACAAATATCCCAGCCTCATGTCAAGTAGGGCTTTATAGATCAGCAGCAGCTTGAAGCAAACTGATATCCAATATAGCTTGCAGAGCAGAGGTGTAATATGTGCTGATTTAAGCACACGTAATTGTCCATGCTGCTGCATTTTGCACTAGCTCAACCTTCTAGATTCTCTTCAAAGTCAGGTCCATGTAAAGTGCATTACAGTAATTCATCCATTCATAAATCACTGCATTGAATACAAACAAAAATGCATTTCAAAAACCAAAATTAGTGCTTTCCATTATCTGAATGTCTAGATTTCCAGATTGGATACAGAAAAAGCAGTACTGCTAGAGCAATGTTGAATTTATGTTTTTCAGGAACGGTTTTAGGAGTATAAACAGATTAGAGCTGTCTCACAATATTTGCTGGCATGCCTGCTTTATTGTGACTCTTTAAGGAAAAAAACTGGAGCAGATTAAGTCTCTGTGTTTAGTTTTGAATAATAAAAGCAGGCTACCTTCCTCCTAGGCTAGTTCAAATGCAGATTTAAAAGAAAACAGGTATAATAGTATCCACAAACTGTTGTAGTTTTGCTAATGTTTTTACCCCACAGGGAAAACTTTGATTTAAGCTGAATTGCTTTGGGTACAAAAAAACCCCCTCTGAAACTATTGATGCTATTCTTTTAAAAATGATAAATGTTCCTGCTGTAAGGGAAATAGCTCCCAGGATTAGATTGTATTGTAAAACATGCTTACAGGATTATGTTCAAACTCTGACAATTAACTTCAACCTTGTATCCTTTCTCCATCAGTTTCCAATAGCACCATCTTCAAAATAGGAAAAAAGAAGAGTAGAAGAATATACTGTACAGTTACCTAATACAATCCATGTAATTGAGTCAATTCTACAGAACAAGAAACAAAATAATATGTTTTAAATTATTACTAAAAAAATTGGAATCTGCTGATCATGTAGAACTCTTGAATGGTTTGAAGGCTCATTTTTTAAAAAAATGTATTTGTGCTTATATGTTATATCTATAGATACATCCTACTCATATCAGTGGATTTTGTACATTGGTTAATTTCATTGCGTTCATATGAATGAGACAACTAAGTAAATTTAATGATTCCATTATATAGACTAACTTTGGGAATATTGTTTCTGAAAGCTTTATTTCATTGTATTAACTTTTGATGGGAAATAATAGCCTGGATTAAATGAATGTATATCGTTATTCATCTTGCTTCTGAAAAGATATTTTAGCAGCAATGATTTCCATCTTTGTAGAAGAATGCACTGAAACCTATATTGTAATGACTATTGTCTTGCTTAAAAACTAACAGTAAGGTATACTTGAACCAAATATTCATTTGACAAGCAGCATAGATAAATTAGATCTCCCAAAGAGGCCAATTGCCGCTCAAGAATATCTCACTTTGGCCAAAGTTGACCTTCATCTTATGCTTTCTTAATTCAAACTGATACATACCGTAATTTCACAAAATGTAAAGTTTTTCAGGTAGTGTAGAATATCATGTTTTACAGGTAGAATTGCCTTTAGCAATTAATGGAAATATATTCCAGGGCATAAAAAATAGTTGCTCGGAGTCAAGGATTTCTTTAGGAATGCATGAAAGTAAATAACACAATTTAGAAATGTCTGTCTGTTTAAAAAGAAACATTTGTTCTAAAATAGTCCAAAAATTATAATCTGCAAATATTCAAATTAAATAGTAATTACTATGCACAAGTACTATAGCAGAAGGCTGAATTTCTACCTATATTTTCACAATTTCTATTTTATATCCAATTCCTCCAGGAATAGGCCAGGAATAGTGGACACGCGTCAGTCCTTAATTTTGGAGTTGTTTCTTTCTGTGACAACCTTGATTAAGAGACTGAAGTAGTGTCATTTTAAAGATAGCTTGTCATTTAAATTCAGATATTAAGATGAAACAATATTTTAACACAATTTGTTGATTGTTAGCTCACCTAAACCCTAACTTCCATCCTGTTGGGTCCTGGGCAGAAGAAGTTAACCCTTTCTTCTGATATAGACACAAGTACGATGGGAGAGAGATATAGAGAGCCGAAAATGGATTGCTCCATTTGTGGTTACTTTTTCTTTTTTAATAACTCTCCCTTTCCTATATGAATGCATAAAATAAGTATACAAAGTACCACTTCTGTGATTGTTCTTATTTTGACTGGGCCACTGTGGATCTTTATTTTTTTTCCCAATTTTGATGTGAGTTGGTCAAGATGCTGTTTTCTGGGAAACTCAGGCTGCTTTCAATCATTTTGATTTTTTTGATTTTTTAATATTTTATTAATCAGATTTATATTGCTGCCCATATTATACAAAGCGATTTTGGGCAATGTGCAACCATAGAATAAAATGGCATAGATAAAAAAAATAAAAACATTTCAAATGAGAATAGTATCATTTAAACCCCAGAGAATGCAAAAATACCAATCACAGTGGAGCCATTTATGGTTGTCTATATTTTCCAAGGACCCCCAGGCCTGATGATATAACCAGCTCTTGGGGGATTTTCTAAACAATTGAAGGATTGAAGGTTGCCTAACTTGGTGGGGAATGGGGAGAGTGTTGTGTAAGGTGGGTGTCAAGGCAGAGGACACTGGCCTGAGACGAAGTATAAGTCCTGCCCTATGATAACATGCCTTCACCACCAGAGCTAATGGAATGGGCTGGTACAGTTAGGGAAAGGCAGCACCTGGAATTGGGCCGGAAACAGATTGAAACCAACACAGCTTATGAAGATGAGGTGTTATATGTGCTCTTCAAGGAGCACACATAACCTGTGCCTCTGTATTCTGCACCAGTTGAAGCTTCTGGATATTCTTCAAGAGTAGCCCCACGTAAAGCACATTAACAGTATTCCAATCTGGAGGTGACTAGGGCCTGAGGGACTGTGAATGGAGCCTCCTGATCAAAGGAGTACAACATGCATAATATGAAGCTGTGCAATGCTCCCTCAGCCACAACCTCTCCCAGTTCTTTGAGGAATAGTGAGTCTAGGAGCCCAAGATTGTGCACCAGATTTGTCTGGGACAGTATCACCAGATCAGCTGCAAAAGTCATACACAGCACTAGATTAAGCTAGACAGGGCTGTCAAACTGGCCCATGGGCCGGATGTGTCACATGTTGGCTACGCCCACCGCCAGTTTAGTGAAGGGGGGGGATCCAGATAGGTCATGTGATGCTGCTGTACCAATATAAGTTTGACCCCACCGAGCTAGTATTTGGAGACAGTGTAAGACCAAAAGAGAATTGATCATAGATGTTCCATCTGGGGTCTTTGCAATATGCGCTGTTGAAAAGTAATGATTTATTGTGGTATATGGATTCAGTGAACACAATTCATTGTTTATAAACAATTGTAATCAAATGACACTCCGCAAGACTGCTGTATGAATTGCAATATATTTTCTTTAAAAAATAAAGATTTTTTTATTTTGAATATTACAATTGCAATTTAATAAAAATGAACTGCAATACGTAAAACAACGTGAAAATACATTCTACTGAATCCAGGAAGCTAAAATGTTAGTACCCGTGCTAAAGTGCTGAGGACAGCAAAAACAACTCACGCATCTATTTTCCTCCCCATCCATTATTAGCGTCCACCCGTTAACAGCGCCTATAAATTCTTAAAGCGGCAAACAGAGCGGGAGCAAAATGTTTACAACTCCTTTAGCGCATGCCCAGTTTAGCTGATTGAAGCAGACAGAGTGCGGGCGAATAAACCTCCCGTTTAGAACGCGTTACGTCACAATTTCACATTCTTCCAATGGGTAGCCTGAGACCGGAAAAAGACGGGAAGCCGCTGAGCGAACCGCTAGTAGTTGTTCTCTAACCGGAAAAAGCCGTTGTAAAGGCAGTGTGAAGCTAGCATGAATGTCCGGGCTTTCCTGTTACTCTCTGGGTCCTAAAGCCTGCCCAGAAAAAAAACCCCGGTGCCTTGCAGATTGTTCATATCCGATAGCTTGGCGATCTCATGATTCCTGTTTTCAAATACAGGCGCGGCAAACAGGTACGAAGATGGGAGGGCGGCAGATTTCGACGGTGGTGTTACGGTAGATTGATAGGAGGGAAGAGTTGAAAACCAGAAGGAGGAGGAATGTTTTGCTTGGGCTGAAGACAAACAAACACCAAAGATGTATTAATTGCAGGTCTCCGTTGGTTAATCCGGATTGATCAACAAGGTGTGAAACAGGGATTACAAGCAGCGGTAATAAATCTGGCAAATTCTCCTACGGTTGTTGCCCTTATAAAGAGGAATACTCGTTTATAGGAAGCAGGATGAAAGTAATATAAATTCACTTGCGGAGTCTTCCGTAGCCCTGAGGCGATATAATGAGAAAACTGCCACTTGTTGAACCCTTGAGGTTTTTCTAAAACTATGAATTAGGGATTTAGGTGTGAAGAAGTTATCTCAAGTCCTGCCCGATGTGAACTTGCTCTATATAAACGATAGAAACTTGACAACGTACAAATGACAGCTTTTGCCCCTCTTTCAAAGGTGCTTTCCTGGTAGATGATATAAAAATCTTACTCTATGCCAACTGATTTAGGGATGGTTCCGATTTGTTTCAACCATTTAAAAATAAGATAAATAAGACTTGTTGCTAAGCAACTTGACTTGAGCACAGGAATGAAGCTTTAGAGCAGCCTGATGGCAAAAAGGAATGATGGGACTCTAACTGGGTATGATTTTGACCTCCCTCTATTTAGTAAACATTAGGGAGATGGGTTGTATCCACAGTTCCATCCTCTCAGCCCTTTGAGGTTGGCTGGATCGGGAAACAGACACCCAAAAGATCCCAGAAAAGTCTCTTTATTGTTGCACTGTGTAATAACTGAGTCTTGAAAATTAGACATATTGTCTCCCTGTCCCAGTTTTCCCCATATCAGAGAGGATCAAGGTGGAACAATCTTGAGTTTCTCATTCCCTTTCAAGGATTTGTTGATGTTTACACAACAGCTGTTGATATACTTTCTTCAAGACCATCTTGTACTCACATACTTTACACCAGGGTTCCCAAACTATGAATTATACCTCCCTTGAGGGAACTCCAGAGAGAATCCATGTGTTTGTGCATGCGGAATGGTTTAGTTACGTTATTATAAGGTGTACGTTGTCCACCTTTCGCAAAGTTTCATGTTATCAATTTAATTATTTGTGTTCATTTTTACATTTGTTTTTTTAGGGGAAGCATGAACATCAATATTACATTAAAGAGAGATATAAAGGCAAAAAGTTTAGGAGCCCTGTCTTGAATTGACGAGCTAGGCAGTCTGTATGATCCAGAAAATTTATTTGGATATAGTTTGGGGTCTTTGTTTTGAGTTTTAGATTATGGTAGCAATAAGGATCTGCCAAGATTTATGTTTTTTTCTTAAGCCTATTTTTTATTTCCTAAACTGTTCCTTAAGCCTATAATCTATTTTTGTAACATGAAGATGAGTGGAGATGGAAATAATAAAGTTAATAAATAAAGTTAAAGTTAATTTTATGATTCTTGGGATTATCATTGCTTGCTTCAGTAAACTATTGGGCATATACTTTAATAATAAATTCTACAATTTGTGATTAAATCCGAATACATTACTGAAAAAAATGATGTGACTGAGATGTTTGTTTAAATTTGTGTATTATAGGAGTTGGAAAACAAATGATGTTTGAAATCTTGTGGTGCAGACAATATTACCTATGACAATAGCATTGTATGCTATTCAGAGAACATAAAGCAGAAAATTAGTTGTAATGGATTCTCAAGTGAATTACTCTGTCTCTGAAATGAAACAGTGAGTTTAATTCCTATAATTAATAAAAAATACAGTTATGAAAATTTCTATTCTCTGAATAATACTCTTGACCATGCAATTTTCTGCCAATTTTTAGTTCTATAATATGAAATTTCTAATAGAATGTTAACTGCAGGAAATGCATATTTGGGGAAAAATGTTTAGTACAGATGGCAATTGAGAATGTACAAATCATGCTATTAATACTTCATAATTTTATATTTCACAGTAATATTACTGCAGTAGCTAGCAGGTAATTTAAGCTATCCATAGTGCTGGTATTTTAGTGGAAGTTCAGCTTTCTGTAGGATTGTGTTAGCTAACTATAGTTGCTTTTAAAAGTAATTCGCAACACCTGCATCATAAAATCATTAGCAAGTTTTGGTTGGAAATAACACACAAATATGGGATTGTACTATAAATGTATCTAAGACAACATCAATTGATGTCCATCCATTTCTGAAATTCCTTTATGAATATACACACATACATATAAACGTACTATACCACCCACCCACCCCAAATGCATATATAAGGTTTTAATGGGTTTCAGTCCAGTTTTGCTAATTAACAAAACATCACTTATCAAAGCAAAAAAAAATAACTTATTTTCCAAATTCTGTATTTTACTTACCAAATACAATGGCAACTATTAGGGTAACAAAACTGATAAAATTTCAGCTTCTGTTCTAATGAACAGGACCATTTCAACTGTGAGATTAAAATTATTCAGAGAAGTGTACTTAGTCCCCCCTTCAGAAGTTTGTTTCCATTTTGTCTTCAAGATGTGATATTTCGTGAAATCTTTTTAAAACTTTGTGTATTGCCTGCTGACAATTAAGGTTTTTTTTTTAAATAGAGCAGCTTGGCTTTTCCTCTTGTTTTATCATGTTTATATTTTTATTTTCCTGCTTACTATCATGTTATGTCATATCTGTATCACTGTTTTTATTCCTGAATTGTTCTGCCAGTCACTTCCTATGTTATATGAAAAGTGGATGCAGTACTTTAAAAAATTGCTTAGTTTTCCATGGTATATTATGTAAAATAAAATGGGTATTTTATCACACTGTCAATGCAAGGGAAAAAACCCTTGTTATTCCATTGGAGTGGTTGCCATAGTTACCTCATTAACTTAGGTATAAGATTTCATTTCGTTTTGTGAACTTCTCCCTTTTATTTGAGAAGCTGAATGAGGTTTGTGAATTAAAAATTATATGCAACTTTCATATATTTTATATTTTGGTGCCTAAAAAGATAACATTAAGAGAGTTGTGTGTGTGCATCTTCCACTAATTATGAATTAATAGTAATTAGAGTTGAGGCTGGATTCATCAGGGTAAACTTATTTTCCCTGGACATCAAGGAAGCCAGTCAACATCTCCCTCTGTTTCTCATTTAAATGAATGTATAGGGACTGGCAAAATGCAAAACATCTATACTTTAAAAGCTTTGCACACGAAATATTTTATTTGTTGCAGTTATCATGATAAGCCATTCCTCCTGGACTTTCTCCTACAAAATTATTAGAACTGCATTATTAATGATCAATGCTGCCACGTTTTTTAAGTAGAGTAGAACAAAATAAACATTATTTTTAATTTTATTTCTTCAAGAGAGAGAAAGTAACAGATGTAAGGTTTGAAAAAGATTGACTTTTATCATGAGCGGCATCATTTGTGTTTATTTCTACCCTGTCTTCATTTTTCAGGGTGACTCACAACCCTTTATATATATATATATAGTTATTTATCAGCACAAATACAACACACACACACACACACACACACACATATTGATTGATTGATTGATTGATTGATTGAATGGGACTTAGTTCTGAGTAAGAAATTCAACCTTGCTGCCTTGATTATTTGAAAATTCAGAGCTGGTATGACTGAGATCATTTGTGGTGAAAACCCCTTGTATTTTTAAACAGGAACTTTGGAAAGACATTTCTCCACAAACACAGTGAAGCTGATATGGAAACAAAGGAAGATCTGAGAAGGAAACTCCATCAAGCCAAGAAAGATAAACTTGACATAACTGCTAAGCATAATGCAGAGGTAACAATTTCATTGTTGTGGGGCTGGGTGTGCAACATAGTTATACAAACTACTCATCCTATTGATGTTGAAGGATGGCCTTCTCCATCTTGACACATTTCTGATATATCTATAATGTTAATGAAAGGATTTGTATTAGACTTGTGTACTCTTGGACCCTGATTTAAAAGAACTTCTCTCAATCTTGTCCCAGTCCAGTCTTTGTGGTATTAAAGTTAGTACATCTCTTAGAACAGCTGTAGCATTTTTTCATTTTGCAGACTCACACTAACGCATAAAAGAGGAAGCTGCTTTAATGAGTACCAGAGGTACTGTGCTTCATGAGATCCAAAGCACTTTTAAGTCATAATCAGAACATGGGAAGCCATATTTAATATACTTCCGAATGTTTCTTTCTTTGTTTTTCTTGGAGTTTTTCCACCTCATTTTTTTAAACGAGAAACCAGAATATGGGTATAATTCTCATAATTCTCATGGGAATAAAACTTCATTTATTTTTTTAAAAAAACAAATGGTAGGTTGTATGAGATTAAACAAAAACTCAATAATCTACCTTAGTGGGATCTTCTAAGGTCGATGTGCTTCTAGCATTTAAAAAAAAATGTTGTACATAATTTGCTTTTCACGTTGGAGTTCCCAGCAATTGTTTCTAACATAGCATTTTTTATTGTCCTTTATTTATAAAATTGTATCAATAAAATTTGTTTATTATACAGTATTATACAATGCATTATATTATTTTTGTACAGTGGTATTTATACAGTGTTGACTAGAGATCCTTAACACTGTAAGGTTTAGATGACTTAGGCTATTCAAAAGAAAAAGAAATGGCATTATATACTGTGTAGGTTTTCATGACCCATATCTCTTGGCAGGGTTTAGTGATTGTGGTCTAGAAAGCAGATTTCTTGATGTTTCACTAGGAACTCTACAGGCGCTGTCCACATTTGCCAGGAAATGTCAATCAATCTGTTTTCTAGACCACAATCACTAAACCCTAAAACCCATCACTGCCCAAAAGGTATTAATCAGAATGAACTGTTTAAGATGTTGATCTTAATAAACATAGGATTATTTAGCTTTTACAACCAAAGCTGAATGTAAGGGGATTGTTGTTTAAGAGATACAAGTCAAAAGTTCCCAAGGGCTCATGGATTTAATTAACTACTTAGATTCCTGCTGTAATTTCCATTTTGCTTGTAATACAATTCCTGTTGGACTTGGAAGACTGGAAATAATGCATTTCTCCTCAATGGATGAATAGCCTGGAGGCTGCGTACAGCTTCCACATCATTGAGATTGTTCTGCAGAAATTCAGCAGCAAAATTAGGAAAATTTGATTTTTTTATTTTTGCATGTTTTCTAGGCTTTAAATATAGGAATAAAAGCTGTTTACCTCCCTGAAACCTCCTATTCCTACCTTTAATCTTTCCCATATAAAAAATAACAACAACCCAGCTTCAAAAAGCTTCCTATCTTCTTCTCATTTCACAAATATGAATGGATAATTTCCCGCAGTCCTTATAAAGTTGGGGTGCTAAGATAAGCTCCCCAATTTTCAAAAGTGGAATATTTTTTAAAAAGCAATTTCCAGTGTTATTTCACACTGAACTGCATTGCTGTTCACTGATGACTGGAAAGGGATCATACAATAACAAGAATATAGGCCTGGCTGGTAAGTTCTCACTTAACAACTGCACTTGGGACCAACATCTCCCTTGCTAAGCAGTGCAGTTGTTAAGTGAAACATCACATGACCATGTCTGACTTATGATGCCAGTTCCATCATGGTTGTTAAGAAAATCACTTGTAGTTGTTCAATGCAGCATTACATTTACTATGACTTGCAAGTTTCTGCCAGCTTCCCGATTCACTTTATTTGTCAGAAGCTGACTGTGAAGATCGCAAATGGAGATCATGTGAGCCTGGGGCAGAGGAGGGTTGCTCCTGGTTCAGCCCAGAATGGGCAAACCGGGAGTGGCAGCGGGAGGCTCCACCTACCCGCCCGGATGCTTCTGCGCATGCATCCACAAGCGAACCAGTAGTAAAAAAATTGGCAAATCACCTCTGGCCTGGGATTATTGTAAGTTCAAGGACTGGTTGTAAACCTACTTTTTCAGCACTGTGGTAAGTTTGAACAGTCCCTAAATAGGGTAGGGTAGTCAAGGATTTACATGTATAAAATAATTTAGAGCAGAAAGTGAAAATAATAAAGAGTCTTGACATGCAAAACCTGTCTTACATTGCATATGAGCTACTGTAAGTCTCCTTAATTCAATAGTAAAGAAAACACTTCAACAATTAACAAGTGAAAAGTTTGAACTTAAAATCAGCTAACAAAGCAGCATTCAAATGAAAGGAACATTTGAAGTGAAAAAGTGACTGACATTGTGAAGGAAAGTATGATGAATATCATGCAAACTTCGTGGTAATTTAATAGACTTAGACTTTCACGTTCTAATTTTCAGAACGTGAAAGTGAATTATGAAGTTGCTGGTGGTAATAGAAATGAAGCAAAGATCTGCATCCTGATGATAAAGAAGCTATCAATGAAATTGATGAAACAGCACAGTAGATCCTCAGCTTTGATGGCACAGAATTGTTCTAGAAGAGAGCGTCAAAAAGAATATACACTTCCAAAGAGGAAAAGACAATGCAAGCTTTTAAGGCTGTGAAATATCAATACACGCTTTTGTCTGGAGCTATTGTAGCAGGAGATGACAAACTAAAACTGTTTCATCATTGGAAAGCTTTTCTCCATTTAAAGGCATCAAGAAGACTATTCTTTCTATCTATACATTATTATTCAAATCCAAAACCTTTTGGAACTCAACAGCTTTATTTCTAGACTGGAGATTCATCAATTGTTTCATTCCTAAGATGGAAACACACTGCAAAGAGGAGGACATGCCATTGAAGATTTTTATGGATTTGTAATGTTTTACAGTAAATATATTAATTGCTAAGTAGGTAATTTAACAATCATGTAAAGGCATTTTGGCATCTTAACAATAGTCAAAAGAAGGAGGAAAAAAGGAAAATCAAAATGATTTCCACAAACCCTTCAACCCAATTTGTTTCAAGGCATCTGAGTGTAAAGAGTTACACAATGAAGGTAAAGGTAAAGCTTCTCTCGCACATATGTGCTAGTTGTTCCTGACTCTAGAGGGTGGTGCTCATCTCTGTTTCAAAGCCGAAGAGCCAGCACTGTCTGAAGACGTCTCTGTGGTTATGTGGCTGGCTTGACTAAACACCAAAGGCGCACAGAACACTGTTACCTTCCCACCAAAGGTGGTTCCTATTTTTCTACTTGCATTTTTACATGCTTTCAAACTGTTAGGTTGGCAGAAACTGAGAAAAGTAATGGGAGCTCACTCTGTTATGCAGCACTAGGGATTCGAACCACCGAACTGCTGATCTTTCTGATCGACAAGCTTAGCATCTTAGCCACTGAGCCACCGCGTCCCTGTTAGTTACATAATACGGGTATTCAAAAAATAATTTATGAGTAAAGTTACATGTATTTTTTTTTTAAAAAAGTATTATTTCATTTATAGCTATCAAACTATGAAAGCCAGATTGCAAAACTACGAGCAGAAGTTGAGAAGAGTGAAGCTGTCCGACAAAGTCTGGAGTATGAATTAGCCGTAGCAAGGAAAGAAGTTGGCATAGAACGGCATTCATCAGAAGAAAAATTAGGCGGAGCAAACAAACAAATAGAACAGCTGCAAGGTAAATTCAGAATATTTACAATAAATAACGAACAGATTTGTGAACATATCCCCTATTAACATAATTTAGTAACAGTGCTTTCCTGACATAAATAGGGAGTTATTATTTTAGGAACACCTTATAATGTTCAGGTCTGAATCTCCTGGGTCTTTCCCATTTTGTTACCATTACTGATTGTTTGGTTAAGATCATTGTTATGTTCCTTACTCAATTTCTCAGATGTAGAGTTTTTAATTTGTTTGACACTTTTTTCATAGTCAGTTTCATTGATTCTGAATTTAAAGTCTATTTTTATATATGTAGAATGTAATCTAATAATAATTTGTAATTTCTACAATTTTTGCTTGGTTAAAAAAGATTCTCTTTGTATCAATGATGCATTCATTTTTTAATTTTATTTTGTTTTCTAACAGCAGTTGCTAACAGTTTAGAATAATGATTCATAAAAATGACATTTGTAATATCTACATTTACTAAATCTTGTATTTTTAGTAATGTTTTATTACCCATCACTTATATCTCTTATACTTTAATGCAGTAAATACATCAGAATTATTGTTTTTCTTGTCTCCTGATTCTAATATTTCATTCCATTCTATTCCATTTTCTTTATTCTGGTTTATGTTTAATAGAGTAATATTTATAAGTATCTTCATAGCATCCTATATTATACATATTTCAATTTCTACCTGCTTATTAATTTGGAAATATTTCTGGATTTCTTTAAAAAACCAGTAATCTCATTTGTTTTTAATAACAAGAGAGTCAGTGTCTATATAAATTAAAGATGGGAAAATATTTGGTCCCAAAGTCCTTGCAGAACTGGTACATACATAATTTTGAAATTGTTGTGATTCTGTTGGGTGCTCATTACTACCTAATTAAAAAGATATTAACATGATGATTATGTTGTATACTTGGCTGAATAGCAGCTTTAAACCACAGCTAGTGGATTATTTGCTTTCCAAGTATAATAAACTGATGCCAAGTAAGCACATTCATAATTTACGTATAACTAGTAGCATTTTTCCTCCATTTAAATTTACTCTTTTCCATAAATCCATTAAATTTTATATCCTTTTTCCTGACCAATATTAATTATCTGTTCCTGCATTCCTGCAATTGTTTAGTGTAAAATGTTTATGCAAAAAAACTACTTGTTCCTTGTTAGGGCTGTAGATTGGCCCCAATATGCATGTGCCTGTCTGACTTACTGTGTTCTTAATGACATTGCAGGACAGTATCTGTCTAACACTTCAGCCTTGGCCACTTAGGGATAGACCTGTGGTATCTTTAAGATTTATATATTGACATTTTAATTTCATTGGTTTAAAAGCTCTGACTTAAATACTTTAAGGAGACCGTTATGAAAATAAATAGGCAAGAAATTGTAGAAGACAAAGTACTTGTTGAGTGTTTAAGGCTAGATATTTAGCCTTAAATATAGTTTTATATTCATGGATTGTTTACAAAATTATCATTTGGGATAGTATGTTGTCTTGAGTATTTTATTTATTTGTATCCTGCCATCATTATTATTATTATTATTATTATTATACAATTGTATCACAGCGGCCAGTTGTTTCGCCGGATTTGGCATTGGTTACTAGTCGGGCCCCCCCCAGGGGCCTAGGAC